TCTGACATACTTGTTTCAGATCTTTTGGGTAAATACCCAGAAGTGAGATTGTTGGATCATGTGGTAATTCTATTTTTAGTTTTTTGAGGAACCTCCATACAGTTTTCCAAAAGGGCAGTATGAAATTATATTCCAAACAACAGTGTTCAACTGTCCTCTTTTCTCCAAATCCTTGCCACATGTACTTTCATCATTTTGATAATAGCTATTCTGATAGGTGTAAGGTGATGACTCATTGTGATTTTAACTTGAATTTCCCTAGTGATTAGTGGTATTGAGCATTTTTTTTTTTCATATATCTGTTGGCCATTTGTATGTCTTCTCTTGAGACATATCTACTTTTTATTGGATTGTTTATTTTCTTTCTGTAAAGGTATTTGAGTTGCTTATAAATTATCCCCTTATCAGATGTATAGCTTGCAAAATATTTTCTCCAAATTCATAGGCTGTCTCTTCAGTCTATGAATTGTTTCCTTTGGTTTGCAGAAGATTTTTAGTTTGATGTAATCCTATTCATCTCATTTTGCTTTTGTTGCTTGTGCTTTCAGGGTCATATCCAAGAAATCATTGCTTAGACCAACATCATGGAGCTTTGCCCCTGTCTTCTTCTAGAAGTTTTACAGTTTTCAGTCTTCATTTTTTAATTTTTAATTTATTTTTATTATATATTTTTATTTCAATAGTTTTGGGGTACAAGTGATTATTGGTTACATGGATAAGTTCTTTAGTGGCAATTTCTGAAATTTTGGTGCACCTATCAACTGAGCAGTATACACTGTACCCAATATGTAGTCTTTTATCTCATACCCCCCTCCCACCCTTCCCACCTGAGTCCCCAAAGTTTATTATATTGTTCTTATGCCTTTGCATCCTTATAGCTTAGCTCCCACGTATAAGTAAGAACATATGATACTTGGTTTTCCATTCCTGGGTTACTTCACTTAGAATAATGGCCTCCAGCTCCATCCAAGTTTCTGCAAAAGACATTTTTTGTTCCTTTTTTATAGTTGAGTAGTATTCCATGATGTGTATATACCGCATTTAATTTACCCACTTATTGGTTGATGGGCACTTAGATTGTTTCCGTATTTCTGCAATTGTAAAATGTGGTGCTATAAACGTGTGTACATGTGTCTTTTTTTAACTTTTAAGTTCAGGAGAATGTGCAGAACGTGAAGATTTGTTACATAGGTAAACATGTGTCAAAGGAGTTTGTTATACAGATTATTTAATCAGCCATGTATTAATCCATTACTTATTTTTCCTTACTCTCTCCCTCCTCCCACTTTCCACCCTCCAATAGGCCCCAGTGTGTGTTGTTCCCCTCTATGTGTCCATGTGCTGTCATCATTTAGCTCCTGCTTATAAGTGAGAACATGTGGTATTTGGTTTTCTATTCCTGCATTAGTTTGCTAAGGATAATGGCCTCCAGTTTCATCCATGTCCCTGCACAGAATATGATCTCATTCTTTTTATGGCTGCATAATATTAGTGTATACATACCATGTTTTCTTCAGCTAGTCTATCATTGATGGGCATTTAGGTTGATTCCATGTCTTTACTATTGTGAACAGTGCTGCAATGGATATATGCATGCATGTGTCTTTATAACAGAATGATTTATATTCCTTTGCATATATACCCAGTAATGGCATTGCTGGGTTAAATGGTAGTTCCATCTTTAGGTCCTTGAGGAATCGCCACACTGTCTTCCACAATGGCTGAACTAATTTACACTCTCATCAACAGTGTGTAAGTATTCCTTTTTCTCCACAACCTCACAGGCATCAGTTATTTTTTGACTTTTTAGTAATCGCCATCCTGACTGGTATTAGATGGTAGCTCATTGTGGTTTTGATTTGCATTTCTCTAATGATCAGTTATGTTGAGCTTTTTTTTCATGTAATTGTTGGCTGCATGTAGTGACTGTTCATGTCCTTTACCCACTTTTTTATTGAGTTGTTTGATTTTTTCTTGTAAATTTGTTTACATTCCTTATAGAGGCTGGATATTAGATCTCTGTTGGATGACTAGTTTGCAAAAATTGTCTCCCATTCTGTGGGCTGTTTACTCTGTTCATAGTCTCTTGCTGTGCAGAAGCTCTTTAGTTTAATTAGATTCCATTTGTCAATTTTTGCTTTTATTGCAATTGCTTTTGGCATCGTCATCATGAAATCTTTGCCCGTGCCTCTGTCATGAATGGTATTGCCTAGGTCATCTTCCAGGGTTTTTGTAGTTTGGGGTTTTACATTTAAGTCTTTAATTCATCTTGAGTTAAATTTTGTATATGGCATAAGGAAGGGGTTCAATTTCAATCTTCAGCATGTGGCTAACCAGTTATCCCAGCACCATTTATTGAAGAGGGAATCCTTTCCCTATTGCTTCTCTTTGTCAGGTTTGTCAAAGATCAGATAGTTGTAGGTGTGTGGTCCTATTTCTGGGTTTTCCATTCTGTTCCCTTGGTCTACGTGCCTTTTCTTGTACCAGTACCAGAAGGTTGTTTCTGAGCTATTTTTCAAAGAATGTGTTCTGAAAGTTCTGTTTATTCATCCTCTTTCTGGCTGCTGCTTATCCTGGGTGTATTTATATTTCCTGAGGGTTTTGGTAGCTTCCCTTTATATGGTTAAATAAAATACTTTTTTTAAATTATTGTGCTTTAAGTTCTAGGGTACGTGTGCACAACGTGCATGTTTGATACATAGGTATACATGTGCCATGTTGGTTTGCTGTACCCATCAACTCATCACTTACATTAAGTATTTTTCCTAATGCTATCCCTCCCCCAGCCCCTCACCCCACAAAGGCCCCAGTGTGTGATGTTCCCCGCCCTGTGTCCAAGTTGGAAATCATCATTCTCAGCAAACTGTCACAAGGACAGAAAACCAAACACCACATGTTCTCACTCATAGGTGGGAATTGAACAATAAGAAAGTACTTTCTATTTTTAGTTTGTAAGAGTTTTTATTGTAAATGAATTTTATCAAATGCTTATTCATTACATCAATTGAGATAATCTTGCAGTTTTCCTTTAACCTTTTTCTGTGGGGAGTTATATTAATTGACTTTCTAAGGGTAATCTCACATCCAAATTGATACATTTACCTTACCAGCATGTGCATACACATGCATACATATTATTTTTAAGGTTTTTGTATTTATGTTTATAAGTGAAAGTTATCTATAATTTTCTTTTACCATCCTTATCTGGTTTTGGTATCAATATGTTGCTAGTGTCATAAATGAAGTTTGGGTATATTTTACCTTTTTATATTCTCTTGGTTTATATGAGATTGGAATTATTTTGTTGTTTGTGATATAAATATGTATTTTAAAATTTGGGGGGCATTTGATTAGTATCTGTATTGGAGTCTAAATAGTTATGTTTACTCAGTCTACTGACATGATCATTCTTGGTGCACCTTCCATGTGCCAGGTACATTATAAGTCCATTACTAAATTATTTTATTTGATCTCCAAAGTACAGATGAGGACAATAAGTTTATTAGAATAAAACTATTTGCTGAGGTTCATGCAGTTAGTAAATACTGAGGCTGGGATCAAAAATAAGTTTCTATGATTTTAAGGCCTCTTAATATAAACTCTGTGGCAAAGAGATACACACATACCCCATAATAAAATTTCTGATGGATTAACAATGGTAATCTCTCGGTAATGGAATAATAGTTGACCATCTGATAAACTTTTCCATCTTATAAACTTTTGTGTATTGTGATTTTTGCATGAACATTTATTTTAATATCACATTAGACACACACATATATGAAATTAATTCAAGGCTGTGAAGATAAATTGAACTGACTTTCATACCAAAATTATATAAAATTATGCAGGCATACTCCTTAAGAGCTCTTGAAACATGAAAAAATATGACAAAGTTGTAATTCCAGCACAGAAATGCAATTACTTCAGGCATTTTATGGAGTAATTTATATACACCTTTGAAAAGTATGGAGGTTATAAATATAATAGATATAAGTATGGTGGAAAATAATGAGATCTGGAATCAATTTGGGTTTGAATCACAGTTCTGTAACTTACTACATTTCTGATCTTGGTACAATAAATCCCTCTAAGACTGAGTTTCCTCCTGTGCAAATTAGAAAAAAATACTTAATTAGGAAATATGCTATCTGAATAAAGTATGATCATGTACCTAAAGAACCTATCACATACATGCTCAAAAAGTTGTAGCAATTATTATGCACCATTCACGTTTCAGTCATAATTTGCCATTTATATTACATTTCTTAAAAATTGTTATTCACAATTTACTTATTTTATGTCTTAATAGCATTTATTTTATATGTGGGATACATTCAAGTGCCTTTTGTTAACAGTAGAAGGATTTGGTCATGTTAATACCCCAGTACTTAAATAATACTTAGATTTATGTCTAGATTATGTGATATGGTTTGGCTCTGTGTCCCCAACCAAATCTCATGTCAAATTGTAATCCCCACATGTTGAAATGGGGGCACTGGTGAGAGGTGGTTGAATCATGGGGGTGGACTTCCCCCTTGCTGTTCTCGCAATGGAGTTCTCAGGAGGTCTGGTTGTTTGCTGTTCTCACAATGGAGTTCTCAGGAGGTCTGGTTGTTTGCTGTTCTTGCAATGGAGCTCTCAGGAGGTCTGGTTGTTTGAGAGTGTGTAGCACTCCCACATTCATTCTCTCTCTGTCTCTCTCTCTCTCTGTCTCTGTCTCTCTCTTTCTCTCCTCTTTTCTTCCTTGGTAAGATGTGCTTGCTTCCCCTTCACCTTCTGCCATGATTGTAGATTTCCTGAGGCCTCCCAGCCATGCTTCTTGTATTGCCTATGGAACTGTGAGTCAATTAAACCTCTTTTCTTCACAAATTACCCAGTCTCAAGCAGTTCTTTATAGCAGTGTGAGAACAGACTAATATATGATGTTTTTATTATTGTTTGAAATTAGACTTATATAAGTAAGAGAAATTAAAAAGAATAATTACTCTTCCAAAATGGTGAAAAGTCATTACACAATTATAATTGACATGTTGATTTCAGGTTGTGGAATCATCATTGCAGCAGCTGGAATGTGATCCCACTGAAATAGAAGAATTCGTGGAGCATTTTATTTTTTTGAATACAATTTCCTCAAAAATATCTAAATTAGAAAAAGAGTACTTAACAATTTCTCAGCTATATTCTGTTGTAACCCATCACCAGATCCATATTTCAGAAGAGCAAATTGCCATATTCCAAGTTCTTCATATTAAGTTTAGTCAACTAAAATCATCTATGAAGTTAAGTATAGTAAATAAAGACACTGCTTTAACTAAATTCAGAGATAACTTGGAAGCATGTATCAGTGGTCTACGTGTTGATGTTAGCAATTTGAAAGCCAAGGTAAGTTTTTAGGTTTTTTCGGATTTTTTTAATTAAAAACTTGACCTTAGTCTCATAAGTCCAGGCATTTGGGTATTTGCTTTCAGTGGAATTTTGGCTAAACAATTTAATACAAGTATTCTTAAACTGGGATTCACAGACAGAATTTTGGTGATTTGTGAATTTGAATGGGAAGTAAAATTACATCTCCATTTTCACTCATTTCTAACTGGAACTTAGCATTTTCTCAACTATGAGTGAATGTAGGGAACAAACAGCAGCATGGCTGGTGACTTTTACCATAGGCTTCAAGAGACTGCCAAATGGGCTCATGGCATAAAAAGGACTAAAACTCAAGTTATTATCATATTTACAAATACAATCTCAGGACCGTCTCTTAACTGGTTGATGAGAGTCACTCCCAAACAATATCTCTATACTAATAACTTGAGTCTTTATCAGATAACAAATGCAGTGTTTTTGCTTCCATGATTTATTTTCCTGATAGCATTATTAACATTTTTCATGCAGAAACAGAATTTGCAAGCACATTACATTTTGTAAGTTTTCCAGATTGTTATAAATATTCTATTAATTATTGGGAACTAATACAGTGCTATGTGAATCCATGAATAAAACATGCTTTAGGATAACATAAAAGGATAAATTATGAGGAAATTTAAGTTGACATGTTCAAAATTAGATGCATAACACTCATGTTTCAGTCAGCTATTTGTACTCAGCATATGTGTAAATAATAATCTAAAGACAGTTGTAATCCTTTCTAGGAAACATTGCACTAGAAGTTTTATTGAAAAGCCTATACTATATGTGTTAATAAACATGTTTAAATTCAATTGAATTCTAATGATGTAAATATTGTGTTAATATATACAGATAATTATAATGAAATAGAATTTGTAGCTTTCAAATTATAATTACAAAAACATCAAAAAATGTTATTAAATTGAACTAAGCTTAAAAAAAAAAAAAAAAAAAAAGGACTAAAACCCCCTGAAATCTTTCTGGGCCAGTCTTTATCTTTGTCTAGGCAAAATGGTAATGATAGTTCCAATTTCACTCACTTATCAGGTAAAAGCCTAGATTATGTACTAAAATGCTTTCACTGCCAGTAAAACAGGTATGTTCTAGACATACTGATTTCTCTTAGAAAGTCCTACTCTTATTTTTTAGATAAGAACTCCTCTTTTGTTATGTGCTGGTACTCAAGTGTCAACGGCAATGGAAATGATCCAGACTCTCTCAGGGGAAGCTGCAAGTTTAACTAACAAAGCTAAAGCATATTCAAGCTATCAGGATTGTTTCAGTGATTCTCAATCTCATATGCATTCTATTAATGTGGAAGAAATTACACAGATTGTGCTTTCAGAGATCTCTGACATTGAATGTGACTTGACTTTGAGGAAAAAATTATGGGAAGCACAAGAGGAGTGGAGGCAAGCCTCTTGGGAATGGAGGAATTGTTCTCTTCAAAGTATTGATGTTGAATCAGTACAGAAAAATGTTTCAAAACTGATGCACATAATCTCGGTATTAGAAAAAGGTAAAAATGTGTTTCTCAAATTTTCCCACCTAGATCTATGTACCAAATGGCCTTTAGACATGAAGAGCATTGTCCTTGGCTTGTTTCTTTACCTGTTCTCAGGGGTTGACCATTATGGCTAGAGCTACAGTACAGGAGTATAGGTAGGAATTTTATTGAAGCAAAAAAGAGATTAAGTCTTGTCAAAAAAGTTTTATTAAGTAATTAACAATTTTTATGTCCTTTAAAAGTTGGTTCCCTGCATAGAACCCCAGCTACCTCACCGAGTATGGCCCTTCTTAGGGCACTAGTCGGAGATGTTTTGATGATAAAGGACCATCTGCATAATCATTATCTTTAGGGCAGTGGGTAAACAGTGTAATTTTTAGAGGTTTATTTTATTTTAATTATCAAATTTGAAATCTTGCCAATGCAAAGATACTGCTTTTTGTGAGAGCATTTCTGTAAGATCATATCCCTTTCCAAAAGGGAGATGTTGTTTCACCTGGCCAAGAGAATATCTTTGTATTTTTTTTAAAGACTTCTCCCCTATCACTCAGCTATACCTTAAACTAAAATTTCTTCTCCAGAAAAGCCAGAAAAACACTTTATTTCAGTTGTTTTAAAATTATGTAAGAAATATAACAATAGCACAGAAGTTTAGAAAAGAGAACAATTGGGGGCAAATCGCAGTCTCTTTAACATAACACTCATTGCGTGCATCCCCTCTTAATATTTTGTTATATACATGCTTCGGAGAACAGTAAAGTAACAACTAGATGATACCTTCTTTTACCCATGGTTCCCCAGATAAAATCTTGCTGTTTGCCAAAGTCTAGACTGGCAAAACTAAAGTTACACTCTTGATCTTCTATTTAATCAGGTCTTAAAAACATATTAGTTAATATGGCTTTATAAAAGAAGCCCCATGTATACAAATTGGTTTTTTGAGTGTATGAGTGAAGTTTTCAGTTCTCCTGAGTCTCTAACTTTGGCCCCCTCCTCTTTCTTTTACAAGTTGAGTAAAAAGGTTGTAAGAGTTGAATCTTCCACTCCATAGGTTTTGAATCCTGTACTTCAGTGGTTTGTCAGTGGCAGAGGACAGACTAGTGCTAGTCTGTGGCAAAGCTGTCACCTACATTTCCTACATTTTGGTGTTAAAGTGTTTTTTAATGAAATCGTAGTGATGGTATATTTTTTCCCTTGATGTTCTTCCCTACTTACCAAAACTTTTAAAAACCCAAACCAGCTGAGTACAGTGGCTCATGCCTGTAATCACAGCACTTGGGGAGGCTGAGGTGGGCGGATCATTCAAGGCCAGGAGTTTGAGACCAGTCTGGGCAACATAGCAAGACCTCATCTTGCTATGTTAAGTTGTTATTTAAATAAATAAATACCCAGAATCTATGACAGTCTTCTGAATGTTTGTGCTGTGTGTGTGTGTGTGCTCACGTGTGTGTGCATGTGCATGTGTACCCATTCGTCTGTATATTTATCATGTCAGGGAAAATCTGGGAAACCTGTGGTAGCTGGCCACTCCTGGTATCAAATTTTCTAAGATAATTTGGTTGTGATAGTTGGGCTTTAGTCACCAGTCCTTATAACTATTTCTCTTTATTTTAATGCATAGTTGTTTCTCATGGAAGGGTGATGTTAATAAAGCTCACTGCTTCATGTTATTTTAATGTAGTTTAATAATTGATAAAGTAGTGTTTAACAAATTTTAAAGAAAAAAATCTTTTCTCAATTTTTTTGTTTAAAAAATATAATGAACATATTGTAAGCCTACTGACCCATTGTCATTTATAGGTTTACCTAAAAGTGATATGCTGACACATCTTAAGCAAGTGGTAACAGAGTTTAAACAAGAGCTGCCTATCATTATAGCTCTGGGAAATCCCTGTCTCAAGCCAAGGCATTGGGAGGCTCTCCAGGAGACTATTGGGAAGTCAGTTCCCCTTGATAAAAACTGTAAAGTAGAGAATCTTCTAGCTCTCAAGGTAAATAAAAATGGTTTTTTAAAAAAATAGGTTGAAATACCAGATGGGCCAATTTTAAATAGGCAAGCAAATATACAACGAATAGGAATTAGGAAAGGAAGTTTATGAGTGCCTGGGAAAATAATAGTACGTTTGTAGAATAATAGGTGATAGGAAATTATTTAATTGGAGATATTGGGTAAGCTATTAATTATTCCATTATTTAGGTGATTAAAAAACAGTAATACTGGTTTTCATGTATGACAAATGAAATTAGTGCTTCTTTATTTAACAGTACTACTAATACAGAACACATTTTATAGGAATGGAAATATCAAAACCACCGTATTCATTATATGTAAAATGAAAATATGTTAAGATATGTAAGAATTGTCCTACCTTAACATATATATAACTTGACATTATATTTAAAATGCATAATAAACAACTATTTGACTTTCCATGTAAGTTTTATTATAAAAAATACTTTTTTCAATTTTTCCATGATTAAAAATTTTCTATTTTCATGCCTAATTTGCAATAAGCTTCATTTATGTTTAATGTTTCATGGCTGACAACATATAATGTAATCAAAACACGTATTTTATTCCTGTAATTCTCTACTAAATAATCTGTTGTAATGAGGAACATGGGCACTTTTTTTTAAGAATTTAAAAAGAAGAATTTTTTTAAAAACAACTTTCATTTTTAAAAATTAGATTATTTTTTATCACCAGCCCTAGTCTCGACTTTCTCATGAACTCCAAATTCACATATGCAATTTCCTATTCAATATCTTAACTTATATGTCTAAGTTGAGATATGTCAAAAACATATCAAAACATGTCAAAAACATTCACCTTTCATTCTCCATCTCCAAATTCTACTCTTCCTCTGTGTTTCTTATCTCAGTTGATGGTAGCTCCATTCTTCCAATTGTTTACACTAAAAATCATGAAATAATTCTGAATCTTCTTCATAATATTCATCGTATCTAAATATCTCATTTTAGAGCCTCCTAACTGATACACATGCCCAACTGATATACATGCCAAGTGGAATTCAGCAAGATAGCTAGATGATGTCAGAGCATAAGAGCAAATACCAACAGATGAATTTATTTCAAATCAGCGTGCATAAAATCTAGCACAATTTTAGTGGTATTTTTATTTCCAGTCTTGGGTTATTGGAACTATTCTTGGGTAAAGTTAGATAAAGGGTGAGAATTTTTCAGACTAAATGTAGCAGCAAGCTATAAAAGTTAGGGTAGATAGGTACATATGATAGCAACTGGTGGCCTACATGGGGATGGTGGCCTGTAATAACTCAAAGGGCTCCAATCAGCTATTACATGTCTAACATTAATAGATAGTTTAAAAAGGAAGTCCCATGCATTTTTTAGAGGGTCCCAATTAGGACAGTTTGACATGTGAACAAAAGTGAGCGAGGTCTTCAGCCTTTGAAATACTGCAGTGAGGAGTTAGAGGAACTCCTTCTTCTTCTTGAAGATAATTGTAATAATAGAAGGGATAAGAAGGCAATCAGCTGGTAATTTCAAGTGAACTCTAAGAGTTCCTGGATGATTTTGGTCATCCTGTAGAAATTTGACAATGTATCCAGTATAATGTAGATGCCAAAATGGACAGGATTTGGCCCAGAAACTCAGTCTTCATTTATTAAAACTTGCATTTTGGAGGATTGACCCAGAGGTGGTGGTCATGCTGCAAGACTTTCCAAGATAGGTCATATTTGAAGTTCTATTAAATGAATAAAGTATGATGGCTTGCAGTTATATGACAACCATTTTGTCCAAGATGTGCAGGCTCTGAAAAACCTACCACATGAAAAGCATTTCATAAAGTAAATTAAGAGCAAGAGCTCAATGGTATGCATGTGATGAACACTTATCAATCATTTTATGGTTGATAATTTTCACTTTGGAAAGCCATATGCTTTATAATGAAGTTAGATAATTAATTACAACCATCAAGATTCAGCTGACACCACCCTGCTATTATCAAGTCAGTTGGAAGATCTGACTATTTGTCAGTCAGGTCCCATACTTTGACCATAAAGACTTGACAAGGCTAGATTCACTTCACTGAAATTTTGCTTTACACATTATCAGTGTCTGGATTTAGTTTTTAACAATCTCAGAATGTTAGCATTAGGCACGAACTTTGATGGTTCTATAATTCTTTATCTGCCTTTGACTGAATAATCTATGTCAAAAGGTAAGCTTCTTTTCCAAAACTGTTACTTAAGGCCATAAGAAGTAACTGATCCCACCATCCTTATAATTCATCTTTGGCAAGCATATAAGAGAAATGACGAAAACTAGTCATTTCTATTCATAATCCCCACTGAGTTGCGTTACTAAAACATAGGGATTGGGCATCATTCTTTAACACCATAGAGATGACATACAGGAATGGTGGCAGAGTCTTACCTACCAGCTATAAAACAATAAGCCCAACTAGTTAATTCTAAGATGTGTAGATGAGAAGGTCTCTGAGTATCTCTATTATAGTGAGTGACTCTGGAGATCTTATATCAGGATCTTGTCCTATAGGAATTGCAGGTCAGTGCACATGGTAAGAAGGTCTGTATATACTCCACTAATGTATTTTAAGAAACATGTATCCTGAAAGAAATGAGGCAAAGAAATGGAAGCCATGGAAATTGGGATCCATCAGAGTTGCATTCTCTTACATGAATATATCCCAAGAATATTGTAGAGAGTAAAAGCATGTCACAAAGTAATTCAGCAGTTGGCATTAGGGCAGAGGAAAGAATGCTGAAGGAAATAATACCACCTACACATATACAGAAGGTATATACTCTTTATAACTGGCTAGAATCAGAGGAAAGTTGGAAATTTTTACTGATTATGAAAAACGTGAAATAGGATGATTTTAAAGTGCAAAGGGATATGTCGTGAAGGTTAGACCATAAAGTTGCTGGTAAGGATGTAAACCTAACTGGAATTAGATCTTCAATATTTTTGATGTGTCTTTCAAAACATGCATTTAAAATTTCCATTTTAGACATATCAGGAATTATTTGCTATACTGGATACTAAAGAATAATTTGTTCATTTTAGATGTTTCAGTATGAAAATGAAATAAATGATATGTCAACTTCAGCAACTAATGAAGCTGCTCTTGAAAAAATGCTATTTAAGATTATTGATTTTTGGAACATTACTCCTTTGCATTTAGTTCTTCACCACACAGAGATTTACTCTATCTTCATAATACCATCTATAGATGACATATCAGCTCAGTTAGAAGAGTCTCAAGTCATACTTGCAACAATTAAAGGATCTCCCCACATTGGGCCCATTAAGGTAAGTATTATGGCAAAGGAAAAATGTTTTCTTTTTCCATAGTTTTATTATTTTAATCTTTTGCAGTCTACAGTTTGCCTTTGAATTGTATAAATCATTCATGTACTTATATAAAAATTACATTGAATATTTACTAGTTTTAATACCAAAAATAACTTTTTGTGGAAGCCTTAATTGTTCATGAGGAAATGTCAAAGTTTAATTTTGGCAGAAAAGATAAATTTAGATCATAGAAAAATATGGCCTTATTACCGTGACTTTTATCACCAGTGTACAGTGTTCCCTGATAGTCCCTCACTGTGCAACCCCACATCTGGTAATATACCTAATAATTATTTTCAGATGTAAAGAAACTCAACATGACATGTAATAAAATAGAGATAGTAAGTAGCAAAATTAACATAATCATATACACACATATATGTATGTGCATCTATATAAATAGATGGGGAGAGAGAGAAAGTATATACACAACAAAGGGAACTCACATTATTTGTAGGATTTAGGGAAAATGTCAGTTAACTGAAACTTTGAGGGAAAAAACTCAATAAATTACAGAATAAAATAAACCCAATACACTTTATTCTTTAATCACATGCAGTACAAAAAAAATGAAAAGCAGAAAAACAGCAAAAACAGCAGACAAAACAAAACACCCAAAACAATAGAAATTTAAAAGCAACCATAAGAATATACAGGAAATGTAATCTAATTTTTTTAAATTTAAAAGTAAGGAACAGGAGAAAATCACGTTTCAAACCTGTCACAATTGGCTAGAGCCCTACGAAAATGAATGTTTAAGCATTAAATGCCTCCATTAAAAATGAGAAGTGAATTTAATAAATGATAAATAAGCACATTCAAGAAACTGAAAAGAACAACAACACACACACACACATACACGCACACACACAGCCTTCTACTTCTAAGCAAGATGGAGTATAGGGACGAGATTTACCATCTGTCTTAGTCTACTTAGTGTGGCCTTAACAATACCACACACTAGATGATTTATAACAAAAAGAAATTTATTTGGCTTATGGTTCTGGAGGCTGGGAAGTCCAAGATCATGGGGCTGGCATCTTGCCAGGGCCTTTGTGCTGCATTATTATCCTATGGTGGAGGCAGAAGAGCAAGTGAAAGCACAAGATGGAGAGAGAAAAGGGGCTGAATTCCCACAATAACTAATCCATCCCTGTGATAATGGCAGTAATCTATTCATTAGGGCAGAGCCCTCATTATCTAATAACCTCTTAAAGACTCCAGATGTCACCACTGTTACAATGGCAATTGAATTTCAATATGGGTTTTGGAGGGGACATTCAAGCCATAGCACCAGCTTGCCTGAAATAGCCGAATCAGACTAGACAAAATATATGGAACAATGGTTTTTGGGACACTGGACATCAGGCAATGAAAGACAAGGATCCCTGAGAGATGAGAAACACCCAAAGTAAGCCCTACGATTCTACCAACTTATCTTCCTGAGTTTCCAGACCTTGGAGAGGGGAGATAGGGAGGAATACAGGCAAAGCATGGCAGACTTCTGATATGAGGAGATGCTGTTGAAGGTCTGGAGAACCAAGGTAGGCTACAGTATTTAGGATAAACTACCAGGGAAGATAAAGCTGCAGAGACAGAGATCTTCATAGATTTGTGGCGGGCCCCTACACAAGCATTCAGTAGACCCAATCAATGACACGTGAAACTGCCAGAGGTCAGGGAAGCAACTACTTGAGAAAATTAGAGGGAACAATGCCTGGTGCTCACATAGGGCTGGGAATAGTGCCTGCATGCATGGTCAGAACAGAAAACCTCATAATTCATAAGCACTCAAAGAGTCTTGCCACAGTAATATGGAATAACTAGTCCTGAATTAAATGTTGCTCTTGTCCTCCCTAATAGATCTTAAAAGCAAGACCTAAAATGATGAAACTGTAAGTAATTTAACTGCACCCAGATCAAAGCTCAAGACTATAGAAATATAATAACATCCAGTACCCAATAAGATAAAATGTACAATTTCTAGAATGCCATCAAAGATTAGTAGACATGCAAAAAAGAACCAAAAATAGAACTCATGATGAAAACTTAACCAATGGAAATTGAATCTGAACTGACACAGTTATTAAAATTAGAGAAAAGGACATTAAAATGATTATACATTTATTCCATATGTTAAAAAAGTTAAGTAGAGAGAGGTACAAATATAAAAAATGCCAAAATTAAACCTCTAGAGATGAAAACATTTACAATGTCTAAAGTGAAAAATACATTGGAGGAAATTAACACAGATTAAACAGTGTAGAAGAAAAGATTGGTGAATTTAAAAATATAATATTGGAAATGATTCCACATGAAACATAGGGAGAAAGAGAAACGTTAAAAATGAAAAGAGCATCAGTGAGCTGTGGGAAAGCTTCAGGCAACCTACTAGATAAATAGTTGACATTCCCCAAGAGGAGGAGTGAGATGGAGAAACAGAAAAAATTACTGAGAAAATAATGACCAGAAATTTTCCAAGTGTATTGAAAACCATAAAGCCATAGATTTACACTCATTACATTCAAGCACAAGAAACATCATCATTTCTCAAAACCAGTGGGGAAAATAGACAAATGACCAATACTAGGAATAGAAGAGGTGACATTACTACAGATTCTGTAGATATTAAAAGGTAAACTGAAATATTACAAACAACTTTAAGTTAATAAATTTAAGTACTTAAATGGGCAAATTCCTTAAAATACGCAAATTAATAAAGCTTGTTCAAGGAGAAATGGATAACTGGAATAACTATAATATGTACTAAAGATATAGAATTGATAGTTAAAAATGGTTTAAAACTTTCCTACAAGGAATAGTCTTGACCCAGATGGCTTGTGCAAAACTTTTATGGAAAAAATAATATCAGTTACGCACCAACTTTTTCAGAAAAGTGTGGAAAAAGGAATCCTCTGTAACACATTCTGTGAGGCCAGTATTACCCTGACACCAAAGCAAGACCAAGATATTATAAGAAAACAGGCTGGGTGCGGTGACTCACGCCTATAATCCCAGCACTTTGGGACGCCGAGGCAGGTGGATCACCTGAGGTCAGGAGTTTGAGACCAACCTGGCCAACATGGTGAAACCTTGTCTCTACTAAAAATACAAAAATTAGCTGGGTGTGGCGGCGGGTGCCTGTAATCCCAGCTACTAGGGAGGCTGAGGCGGGAGAATCGCTTGAACCTGGAAGGCAGAGGTTGCAGTGAGCTAAGATCGTGTATTTGCACTCCAGCCTGGGCAACAAGAGCGAATCAAAAAAAAAAAGAAAAGAAGAAAAAAGAAAGAAAACAACAGATTTAGAAAGGAGATATTAATAAAATAAAAAAAACTAGAAATCAATAGCCCTCTTAAATATAGATGCAAACATTGTAAAGAAAAATGTCCAAATCAAGTCCATCAATATATAGAGAATGTTGTATTATTACCAAGAGAGATTAACTTGAGAAATGCAAGGGTGGTTTAACATTCAAAAATCAATCTATAATTTGCCATATTAAACATAAAAAGAAAAACCAGATGATATTCTCAGAACATGTTAAACAATTTTACAGAATTTCAACATTCATTCCTGATTAAAATATCTCTCAACAAATTAAGAATAGAAGATAACATTCTGATTAAAGAATATCATGAAAAACATATTGTCCTTAATGGTGAAAGACAGAACACTTTTCCCCTAAGATCAAGAATAAGGATGTTCTCCCTTACCAATTCTATTCAGTGTTTTACTGGAGTTTCCAGCCAGTATACTGAAGTAAGAAAGAGAAATAAAAGATGTCCGATTGAAAAAGAAGAAGTAAAATATTATTTATATTCAGATGCCATGATTACCTATGTAACAAAATCAAACAAAATTTACAAACAAACTAAACTTATTTTAGCAAGTTTGCAGGATACATGATTAGTGTACAAAGTCAACTTCATTATATATACTGGCATTGAGAAATAGCATAAAAATAAGATGTATAAACCCGAGAAAAATATATAAGATCTGTACACAAAAAACTTCAAAACCCTGCAGAGAGAAATTAAAGAAGGCTTAAAAAATGGAAGATACATTGTGTTCATCCACTGAAAGACCTAATAAACATGTCAAATATCACCAAATGAATCTCTAGATTCAATACAATCCTAATCAGAATCCTAGTAGACTACTTGTAGAAATTGACAAGCTGATTCTACAATTCTTATGGAAATCTAAAGGTCCTAAATAGTATAAACAATTTTACAAAAGAAGAACAAAGTTGGAGTATTAAAACTACTTATTCAGAGGCTCATTATAAGGCCAGAGTTATCCAAACAGTTTTTTTTTTTTTTTTGCTTTAAAAATAGACAAGAAAGATAGAATACAGAAATAGACCCACATATATATGGACAACTGATTTTCAACAAATATGCAAAGATAATTCAGAGAAAAACTAGCCAATTTTTTATATGAGAATATTTATTTATTTTTTATTTTTTATTTTTTTATTATTATACTTTAAGTTCTAGGGTACATGTACATAACGTGCAGGTTTGTTACATATATATACTTGTGCCATGTTGCTGTGCTGCACCCATCAATTCGTCAGCACCCATCAACTCGTCATTTACATCAGGTATAACTCCCAATGCAATCCCTCCCACCTCCCCCCTCCCCATGATAGGCCCCAGTGTGTGATGTCCCCCTTCCTGAGTCCAAGTGATCTCATTGTTCAGTTCCCACCTATGAGTGAGAACATGCAGTGTTTGGTTTTCTGTTCTTGTGATAGTTTGCTAAGAATGATGGTTTCCAGCTGCATCCATGTCCCTACAAAGGACACAAACTCATCCTTTTTTATGGCTGCATAGTATTCCATGGTGTATATGTGCAACATTTTCTTAATCCAGTCTGTCATTGATGGACATTTGGGTTGATTCCAAGTCTTTGCTATTGTGAATAGTGCCGCAATAAACATACGTGTGCATGTGTCTTTATAGCAGCATGATTTATAACCCTTTGGGTATATACCCAGTAATGGGATGGCTGGGTCATATGGTACTTCTCGTTCTAGATCCTTGAGGAGTCGCCATACTGTTTTCCATAATGGTTGAACTAGTTTACAATCCCACCAACAGTGTAAAAGTGTTCCTATTTCTCCACATCCTCTGTAGCACCTGTTGTTTCCTGACTTTTTAATGATCGCCATTCTAACTGGTGTGAGATGGTATTTCATTGTGGTTTTGATTAGCATTTCTCTGATGGCCACTGATGATGAGCATTTTTTCATGTGTCTGTTGGCTGTATGAATGTCTTCTTTTGAGAAATGTCTGTTCAT